TTCTTGGCGGTAGGTAGATATTTACTATAATTTTATTTTTTCATGTCAACATTTAAAAATCTGCTAATGTTACCATAGATTCGGATGCTAAAGTACTGACTACAATCAAATATATAAATTAGAATATAAATTAATTAAACATTTATTATACCATCACTTACCAATTTTAATAAATGCACCGGCTGCTTCAAATATGACAAAAAGATCTGAAGGAAATTCTCTATGTTGATGTTTAATAGATAAGTTTCCGGCAAGGGTGCCCATCTGAAAAAATATAGCAATATCACATGAGACAAGGCATTAAACCTATTAAAATAATTCAATATTTATATATAACACTTGCAGTTTTTAAACTATGCAGAATAGAAAACTTTCTAACTTACATTTCTCACAGGTACGTTTGCGACCAAATCTAAATGATCTACAATTTCTTGAACATATTTAAATTCTTCCATCCCTGATACTTCTGTCAAAAATGCCATCGCTTCTGATATAGTCAGATTTGCCCCAAGTATAATATTTTTATCAACTGAACATTGTTTCAACTCAGGAATATTATTGATGTCAATATAAACATGAGGTGTTACTTTTGGTCGGTAAACACCTTGAGAAGTGTTGCCAGCTATTAACATGAGCGGAACTCCTCGATTTAATCGTAAGAGCCTCAGAACGTTGATTATTGATGAAACTTTGTGCCAGATAATATCATTCACTTCATACTTGATTGTTTTCTTAATATTTTCGGCACAAATGCCTGAGCAATCGAGCCCCGTTTTTGGGCAGGGTTTCTTTTTATTAATATCCTCAATGTCCTAAAAAGCTCTAATAATTATAATGCATATAAAACATTTTTACTAAATACTAATAGAAACGATACCGACGCCTGCAAAAAGCGTTTCAATTTCAACATAGCTATTATATCATTGTTTATCAATCAGATATTCATAATACAAATTTAGAAGTCAAATTCACCTGTATTTTGTTCAAAATAGACCATTCTGCATCAGTGGCCAATGATTTAAACGCATCCAGAATTGGCCGATATCCAGTACAGCGACAAATATTACCACCAAACGAATTTTCAATTTCTGCCATAGTCAAGTTTTCATTTGCTTCCATTATGCTTTAAATTAAAATAGAAAAAATTTAGCTTAATTTTTTTATTTAATCGATCAATGACATACAAATGGTCAAATACATTTAATAGAAGAATATTTTACCTGTGCATATTCATAACCATTCCAGGGCTACAATAACCACATTGGCTTCCATTAAACTTTGCTAAAGTCGTTTGCAAAGTATGGTAACCACTTTTTTTATTACCGAGTCCAGAAACTGTAGTAATTTCCCATCCATTACAAGAATAAACAAATGTTAGACACTGAAAGTATTGAAAAACATTACTTTGAATTACTTGATTTATTATAAATTCAGAATTGGTCATATAAATAAAATAAACGAATAATAATTATAATGCAACATAATTAAAAACATATATGCTCACTAATAAAATCGAATAAATATTTTATATTACTTTATAATATTTAGTATAATTAATTTATTAAATCATGTGATTCAATATCATAAGTTAGTTATAAGATATGAGATATAAGGTGTCGGTGATTTATAGATCCTATTCGACTTTTGTTATTATCCTAACTTTTTTTATAAATATCAAAGATAAAATGAGCCAAAGAATTCATATTAATATCATTCTGTTATACTAAAAGCATTTTAAGAATATTACATTTAAAACTATATTTATTCTAGAAATACTAAAATTTTCTAGATTTCGCGGAAAAATCTATTTGCTAACTTTATGTTTTCTCGACGTTTCAAATCATTCTGAATCAAATGTGACCAAATTTGGAAAAACTACGTGTGCGTGTATCTCAAAAATGGCAAGACCCATTTCAAAAAAGTGAAAATTTTCCTAAACCGTGCGTCTAAGCGATTCTAATCAGAATCTATTCCGATCATCTATATACGTTTTTGAAGGTATCTACTGATTACAGATTTTAAGATATATACACACACATACTTTTAACTTGAATAAAATTCAATTTTAGAACCAGAAATGAATAAATTCATATGTGTTAAACTAAGATGACCGTATGTCCCGGTTTGGCCTGGACAATCTCGGATTTCCCCTTTGTGTCCCGAGTTTTTCTAAAAGCAATATTTGTCCCGGATTTAGTTCTTTTGTTCTGGATTGTCCCGGGTTTTCGAAAAATAACAGAATTTCATACAAAGATTGAAAGGTATGAAATAAAAGATATATGAATAGTAAATGAATAATGAAGTTTTTACTCAAAGTCGGTATTTCTGATTTAAAAAAAAAGATTCATTTAGATTTTTATAATATTTGTCATTCCAAAATCATGTTTAACCATATCATATACCCTCCCCCATCCCTAATTAGCGTAACCAAAAATTACCGTCCCGATTTTGACATTAAAGATATGATCACCTTAGTTAAACCAATTAATTTAATTTATACAATTACATATATAATAAGTGAAGACTGGAAGATTTCAACTGGAAATCAAATTGATTATATTTTAGTGAAAATTGATTTTAATTTAGTGGAATAAATATTGGGCAAAAATCTCACTAAATATCAAAGATAAGAAAAGCCAAAAAAGTGCATAACAATAGCATTCTGTTGTACGTTAAGCTTTTTAAGAATATTACATTTAAAACTATATTTATTCTAGAAATACTAAAATTTTCTAGTGAAATAAATATTTCAATAAATTATAAACAATTTTTTAGATTTAGTGAAAACCGAAGCTTTATTTTTGAATTAACATTTTACGTAAATATCTGAATCTCCATTTTGTTGTTTAAGTTCATTACGTATACGTTAGGAAAGTCCATGCACTTTGGCTTAAGATAAAATGCAACTTACAACTAGTTCTTAATTTTATTCATCTGGATATTTCTCTATGTAGAGATAGAAAACATTATAGATATTGTTGAAAACAAATATTTGATTTCTTCAAATGTATCAATAATAATTTAAATGTTATTATTATAAAGCTAATATTCTTCATGAAGCATAATACTTTTTTGATTAATTAATGTTCTATTTAATTAATCTGTGTGGATTTAAAAAAAATATAGACTATTTACCGAATTAACAGCTGAGCTAACAATTTTCCCAGTGCTGGCGTGTCTGTAGCGGGCGGATACAATGCACGATCCGCATCCTCCTTCGCGGCACATTGTTTTCGTGTCTCGAAGATTTGCATGATTGACAAGAAATAAATTCAATGTCGTCTCGAGAGGCAGATCAGGCGGAACTAAATGGTAATTCAGTTACCAGTAATTACATTAATGACTATGAAAAACTATCTATTTAATCCAATGAAAAGACTATATTTTAAATAATAATCTTGCCACCATGTAATTTATTATATTGTAGAACAAACTAGGCCACAATCTATCAAGCTTCAGTTCATCTTAATTAATCTAAAGACTATATTTTTTTAAAATAATAATCTTGCAACTATGTAATTTATTACATTGTAGAACAAACTAGGCCACAATCTATCAAGCTTCAGTCCATCTTAATCAATCTGCATTACTTCAAAATTACATAAAATTATTAACTTCCCGTAGGGTGAGTTATAGTAATCGCAAAATAATTACTAGCTGTAAGTGGAATTCTGTCTTAAGGCAATTAGGGCATCGTGCCTTAAGGCAAATTGCTGGAACTTCCCGTACCAATAATTATTTTTTTTTTTTAAAACGATAAACATTTTTGAAAAAAAATTACTTTGAAAAAATAAGATTTTTGAGAAACTATAAATTGGACAAAATATTAGTTTTTTTTTTGAAAAAAAAAATTTTTTTAAAAAAATTTTTTTTTTTAAAAATTTTTTTTTTTTTGAAAAAAAATTTTTTTTCTTTATTTTGACATATTGTGGAAGATCTGAACTTTTTTTTCAAAGCAATCGTACTGCTTTAACTACATAGGGACAAAATATAAAGCGCGTAAGCGCCGCGTCGCTGTCTAACGCATAAGCATTGGTACGGAACCGATAGAATGTTAACAAAATGTATACTTATTGTTAAATCTCTATAAAATGTCTGATAATTTGATGTGCATATGTCTAATGATCATTTTTGATTGACCGCCAAATGGCTCATTTTTTTACTTTTTCCTCTATATCTCCGAAACCGCTAGACCTACCTTTATGAAAATTTTTATAGATTCTTCATCTTGTCAATACAAGTGAAATGTTTTTGAATTATTAAAATCGGACGCTCCGTTCTCTTAAAACTGAGTTACCGTTTTCGGAACTTTTTGGCCCCGTATCTTCGGAACGGCTTGACCTGCTTTTTGCCAAAAACTAATCAGCACGTCTCCTTATCAATACGGATCGAATGCTTTTTGAATTATTCAAATCGGTTGATCCGTGTTCCCGAAATCGTCGACGAAAATTTGTATCCGCACATACATACACACACATACATACATACACACACACATACACACACACCACACACAATACATCCATTTTTTCTAAGGTATGCCAAAATGTTCAGAAACCTCTGAAACGTAAAGATATATAAAAATTTTCATTTTCGATTTTTTTGCGATTACTATAACTTGCCCTACGGGAAGTTAATAAATGAAAATTTTTATATATCTTTACGTTTTAGAAGTTTCTGAATATTTTAGCATACCTTAGAAAAAATTGATGTATGTGTATGTGTATGTATGTGCGGATACAATGTTTCGTCAACGATTTCGAGAACAGGCATCGACCAATTTGAATGATTCAAAAAACATTCGATTTCTATTGATAAGGAGACGTGCTGATTAGTTTTTGTCAAAGGCAGGTTCAGCCGTTCTTAAGATACGGGGCAAAAAGTGTGAAGAATGGTAATTCAATTTTTGAAAGAACAAAGCGTCTGATTCGAATGATTCAAAAAACATTTTATTGTATAATTTTTGAGAAAAAAGGTCTAGCGGTTTTGGAGATTCATAAAAAAGCCATATGGCGGACAAAAATGATCAATATAGACATATGCACATCAAATTATTACATATTTTATAGATATCTTAAAAATAAGAACAAATTTTGTTTACATTTCTATATGGGTTCCGTACCAATGTTTATCTGTTATACTGCGACGCGGCGCCCACGCGCTTCTATATTTTGTTTTTACCCAGCTAACAAATGGCGATTACTTTGAAAAAAAGTTCAAAATTTCCAAAATATAAAAAAAAATTAAAAAGATAAATTTTTTCCAAAAATTTTGATAATCGAATTCTTTCAATTTAATTCAAAAAATTTAATCTTAATTTTTTTTTTGGTTGAGGAAAGGCCCTGCAATTTGCCTTAAGACACGATGCCATGCACCACTAGGTTAATTTTCATTTTCCACAGTTTATTGAGTTGATATATGATACTGGTATAGGAAAAAGCAAATTAATGAGTAAATAAGTAGTAATTATTAGCAGTATAACTAATTCAAAATTGAGCTTATTTTCAATGGGAAAATGGGTTTATTTTCTATTGGAAACATATTTTTTTATCTTTAGAAAATGCAGATCGCTGCTGCCCGATGTCAAGTTGAAGAAACGGGGGCTTATGTATACATGTATATATAAACAAAAATTTGCTCTATTATTTATATAACTAATAATTTGTATAAAAAGCGTGTCAAATAAATAATATATTTTTAATTATTATAAATACATACATATATAATATATATATATATATATAAAAATATATGTGTATATAATATATAAACATATATTTGTTTCACATTTTTATATTAGATATACTCGTATAAATGTATATCCACGATATATTATTAGGTTTTGGTTTTTTTAGTAATTTATGTCGCGATCCCAAAATCCAAATTGAAAATGGTATTATAAAAATATATTTGTATTTGTATTGTATTAATTTTAGTTATCATATTTCCTAATAAATATATGGAGTTTAAAATTGAAATATTCTTGCTATTGAAAAAGATTCATAAATAGGTACATAGTAAGAACAACGACAACCAGGTGTAACATATTTTTGACAATATTTTTATTTGATTTGGATATTTGTTGGATAATATATATATATATATAATGTTATATATATATATATATATATTAAATATAAAAAAAAAATAAAGTTTACCTGTGTAGTCCACACCGTTATTTTCAAAGTCACTGGATCATCTTTATCATGGGACCTGTTAAACATTTTTGTAGTTATACCGTGACACTTATCAGAAATATTGATCATTATTGATTTCATTATTAGCACAGGATTAACGTTTTGATACACTGAAGTCGAATATAATAATAAAATATCAAATAGACTTCTTAAAAGCAACCGGTTACTACTTTTTTATGAAGATTTGACAATCAGTAAAGATTTGTATGTAAAAAATTGGTATTCAAACTACTTATATTCAAGGTGCGTGATTGTATTATATATACAATGTTGTAATATTTTGACTGAATTGTATAACGGCAATTACGTGCACGCAAAATTACTTCGAAGTTGGGATTCAAAAATTCAGTGAAGTAACTAAAAAATATTAAACCTAATTTTAATTAAATATATTTGAATATATACAAATTTTATTTATTGTTAATATATTTATTTGTTATATTTAATAGATAAAATTACTTTAATTTTCACTTCTAATTAATTTTTAGTAAGACTTCATTAGGTACTTACATATCTACTGTGTGAAATTGAATATATTTTATTAATTCATATATCCTGATTGTATCGCTGATATTGTATCTATGTTTCAAATATTAAATTCGATACTAATATATATATGGCACCGCTGTAGATAACACTAATAAATTACAATATGTGCGCTGAAAATGATTTGATCACGTTTGTCACAGATATGTAAATTTTGTTTACTCTTTGTACACGCACGAAAAATTGGCAAATATTAGTCCAAATTAGAAATATGAGTGATTACGACTAATTTATTTTTAATTATTTTTTTTTATTTTTAAATTGTAATCAGAACTTATATTAACCCAAAAGATTTTTTTTATCAGCAGTATTTGAAAGTTGAGGGCAAAAGATGTATAACCAGTCAACCACCTTGATTCTTACAATGATAGAAACAGCAATATTTAAAAATCCCTAATAAAAGTAGTTTCATTGTTAGTTTTTTTTGGATGTGAGCACTATTTTTCGATTTACGAGACGTTAATATAATTTTTTAATATACGTTATTTATTTGTTCTATAGGATGTGTTGTTAATTTTGCCTTAAAAGCCTTTGATCTTCAACAGCTCTTTTTATATAACCTCTATTAAAGCTTGCACGTAACCGGGGTAAAAGGAATCAACTGTATCTTCACCCTGGAAAAGATGCAAACAACTAAAAATAGTAAACAAAAAAGTAAATTACGTTAGAAATGCAATTTTACAAATAAATAGCTATTCCTACTCTGCTGATGAATATTTCTGACAAAATACCAGATCAAGGTTATACAGTTCTCTAAAAAAAATTTAACCGTGTATACGTGAAGTTTATGTTTTTGCAGTGGTTGAATAAAGTATCTATTATTTCGAAAAATTTCAATGAAATTAAAAATAAGACATTGATCTGTTCTTCCCCTGGAACCCCATTTTACTTCGCCTATGGGGTGAAAAAAGACAGATGAAAAATAGTAAAAAAGAACATATTTCTAAAATTAGGAATTTAAAAGTAATTTTACTGAATATAGTTCGATAATTGCTTGTTTAATACGTTTTATGTGTTAACTAAAAGCAACTTTAAAAATTAGAATGAAAATTAATTTTCAAACGATAATTGACAAACAATTAATGATAAATTTATTTAAATCATAACCGCTAACTCTTTTTTGGAGGATTTCAGAAGAACCGCTGAAATGTATGTGGAAATACAGGAATCTTCTTTTAATTGACAACTTTAATTTCTTCTTTTAATGACAACTATAAACTATGAAGGTAGTATATCTTCTTGAAAAATGAATTCAATAACCAGCGATTTTCAAAATATTAAAATCATTTCAAATAATAATATAATACTATACTAATAATAAAAGAACACAAAAATTCATAGAATTGAATTTTAAATGTTTTATTTCTTCTATAGAAATTATCAGTGGTTTTTAAAAATAATGGTATCTTACGTTAAAATTATACAAATTATACTATACAAGCACAAAATTGTTTTGCATATTTTCATGAAAATATTTTTAAACGTAAATGAGTTAGTTAGCGATCAAATTATTTGCATAATTCGTGAAAAAAATCTATAGTGTTTATATATATATATATATATATATATCTGATAAATGAAAAATATAAAAAGTACAAGAAATGCAATCTACAGTCTATAAAAGATTTAGAGATTTAAAGATTCAATTTAAGTTTAATGTTTTGTTCAGTGCATCCCGGTTTTAAAAAATTGTTATTAGCATTTTATAAAATATAATTTTTAATACTGTACTACAACTATAAACTAGCGTTATACTCACCCTTAAAAACTATGATCTAAAAATAATTCTATCATATTTTACATTACAAAGTAAATTGCTTGTAATCGATATGAGCATTTAAAAATATTTGCTCGGGGGAAGTAGGTGCTCCTGAAAATAGATTATTCATATTTAGTATAATATAAATTTAAAATTAAATGTATAAGAAGGAAACTATTATATTTGTATTATTATATAGAACAATATTACCCAAAGAAAACCACCCAGCAGGTTTTCCTCCATTGGATTGTTTTCTAGCAGAATTCAAAGCATGTCGAATTGCACATACAACCACAAAACTCATGCAAAAAGCGGGTTCGCCGGTTGCTAATTAGAAATTGAATTAAAATTATAAATATTACAAATTTATTAAGTGATATTTTAAAAAAATATTCCAATAAACCAAATATTGTAATGCCTATTCAAGTATAGTTAAAGTTTATTCTAGTAGCATGTAATAATTTAGTAAAATGATAAACAGAAAATTCATTTGGTTACAAGAATGCAAAAATTCATTAAAAATATTTTAAATTACAATACAGTATAATTTTGAAATAGCTGAAAAAAATCAGTAATTGTCGCTTTGGAGAAAAATTATAAGACTTGCTGGTCATAGTTAATAACTTCAGAAGAATCTGATGTAAATAAATGTAAAATTTTATAATGAAAACATAGTTAACACAAAAGCATTACCTTTAGATCTTAAAACGCCAAGCGGATTTTTATTATTTCTTGTGAATTCTATGCGAAAATCAACTGGAATATCCTTGACGCCCGGTGGTTTATAAGTCCATGTGCGATTAGTTTTTAATTCTCCTGATTTCTTATCATAAATAATTTGTTCGCTCAGCCAATAACCTAAACCCATAACAAAAGCACCTTCCACCTGAAAATATATAATTCATAAAGCAATAAGCTTGATCTTTGTGATTAAAACTAAAATTGTGCAGTTAAATAATGTTCCAGAAAAATGTATTTGGTCTATTTTGAAAGTTCAATCAATAAAATTATTATATATGTGAAATATAGTTTGAAAACCAATTTACTTGGCCGACATCGATTTCAGGACTCAAACTTTCTCCGGTGTCCTCTAGTAAATCAACACGTAAAATCATGAGATTTCCTGTCAATAAATCAATTTCTACCTCACAACAAGTTAAGCCAGCTATTTCATAAGATGGTGATGAGTCTTTAGTAAACCTGTGAAAATATTACAAATGACATTATAAATTCGTTAAATATATAATCAAGATTAAATCTTAGGCCCTTAATCCCTGTTTTTTATAGTTAAATCCTTCTCGTTTTTCTCGTATCAGACTAAATATCTTCCTGTTTCCAAGTGATCATCTCATTAAAATAATATAGAAAATGTACTTACGAATGGGTTGCCTGTAGATCTACATCTTGCAAATGCGCCATTTCGACAACATCACTCCAAGCAGCTTTTTCACCGAGTTTCTCTCGAAAAGGTTTCAAACGTTCCAATAGTGTTTTGCAAGCTTCCATAACGGCCTATAAATTATGAATTCAATTAATTTGGAAAGTGATATTGGAATATTTCATTTAATATTATTTTTATTAAAACTTATGTTAAATTTTATTTACGTACAAAACAACAAGCTTCACTTGTAACTGATCCTCCAGTTGTGAATGCATTGGGGCAGATCAGGTTGTTGGTTGGTTTCACAGAAACTTGAGATAAAGGCACACCTAAAATGTGAGCACAAACTTGTGCAACCTAAAAAAATAATAAAGCATAAGGAAATACATCTATTTTGATTAAGGAGAAACTGTTTCTTATGCATTTAAAATTACAATATGTATAAAAAATAAATAAATAAAAAATATAATATATTATTTTTAATCTATAAAGTTGAACAAATGAATTTAGATGAATCGATTAAAATGTCTTATATCCAAATATTCAAAAATTGTAAACTAAACAAAATTGGTGTCTATTTTATAATATGTATATCTTTTACTATACTTTTGTGTTAATTCCCTGGCCACATTCGATGCCACCATGAGTAACTGCCACTGAACCATCTCCGTGATAAATGCAGACGGCAGCCGAAAATTTGCCGAAGTAGTCCAGGGCGTAGGACATCGGCACTATTGCTATGCCTCGTTTACGCCAACGATTGTTTTCATTAAATTCATTTATTGCAACTTTTCGACTATCATACTCTGTAAATGATATGAGAAAAAGATCTAGTTTTTATCTTAGCTAATTTTTTTTGTTAAATTTAATATGTAAAAAGAATCAGAATTTTGAATAGAAAAGTATTACCAGAAACAAAACACGTATCATTGACTTAAAAAAATCTAAATATCAAAATATTTATAAAAAAATTAGTTAAATTAGATGAGTAATAAATAATTAATAATTGAATGCAATAAATAATAATAATAATAAAATGTTCTGTAATATAATAAAAAACTAAATAATAATAACATAAATAGTATTTTTCTAATTTCAATATGCATGAATTCTTTTAAAATTTTATTTAATCCCGTGGACAAACCTGTTTTTTTTCGAAAATCTCCAACTAATTCTTTTACAAGATTATTTTCGTCCCGAAAATTGGCAATTCTTACGTCCAAAGGATCCACTCCAGAAACATGGGCAATATGTTCCATTATGTTTTCAATCATGGCGATGCCTTCTGTGCTACCTAATTAATATTTTTTATAATATATATACGAGGTCTGTTCAAAAAGTACCCGGAATTTTCGTTTTTTCAAAAAATATTTATTTATTCGT